AGCATTTGAATTTACATATGACTTGTTCTTGGATTGAGATTTGAGATTTGAGCTATTTATGAAGTATCCTATATTTTGGACTATTTGTGGTATATTTGAGTATGATGAGTTGGAGTTAATAGTTTCGTTATGAATAATTTGGTGGAATTTGGATTTCATATCCATTCTGGTTGAGATTTTGATATTGGAACTTTGAGATTGAATTATGATTTTGTGAGTACTCGGAGAAATGTGGATTTGGTGAGTGGTAATGGCTATAAGTCTAATTCCACCAGGGATCTCCCAAAAGTGGAGTATCCCAGCTTAATTGTAGTAGTCAGTAGAAAAATCCCGACTACTCGGACTTTTTTACTACCCGGAGAGCTTGAAATCTCTTTTAGGGGGTGTGCACACTTAAGGTAGGAGTTCGGCTTCCATTGGATTTGATTGAGTTTGAATGATTGGATTATGTTTGGATTTAAATTGGACTTGGATTCCATTGGTATTGAGGTGAATTGGTTTTGAGGATTTGAGGTAAATTTCATTGGAATTGAGGTGATTTGGATTATTTGGTTGAACTTGATTGAGGTGAATTGAATTATGTTATATTGGATTATTTGAGTGTGCTATATTTTTTGGATTGGATTGAATTTGAGATGGTTGAGGTTATTAAATTATTTATAGATTTCAAAAGTAATAATTTTGGATTTGGTTAAATATAAGTACCTATATTTGGAATATTATTATTATTTTTACATGTGAGTTGTGATGAGAAGTTTGTATAAAGTGTTTCATAAGGTTTCCTCCCAAATGTTTTCACAAAATGATATATATGTATCAAACATGATTATTTTATAGGGTTGGGTGGGCCTTACTTAGCATTTCCAGCTAATTTTTGTTTCTTTGTGTTTTTCTTTCTGTACTTTATTTGTGCAGTAATTGAGGATCATGTTGAAGTTGATTTCGAGAGCTTCCGCTAGAACACATAGACTAAAGTGATCGAGTAATTTATTTTAGTCTTAATTTTATAGACTTGTAGTTGAACAACTAAATGTGGAAAATTTTAATTTGTTGGTGGTGGATAGCCTGTGCACCCGGTTATGTGAGAGCCGAGTGTGGCGGTAACGCCCCAGTTTCCCTTTGAATTTTCCGCTGCATAATTCTGATAAATCATTATTTAAATGTATTTTTGGGTGGGAAATTTGGGGGTGTTACACTGTGTAAGAGTGAATGATGAGGAAGTATGTCTTGAGGAAATCATTAGTCATTTTTGATGCTTGGAGCGCGTCTCACTTATGATATTTCCTTCTTTGGTTGTCCGTGAGTAAGACGCCTCTCTTTCTGTTTCCGTGGGGAGCATGATAATGAGTCGGCGTTTTTGTACTGGAGGCTCCCTGGCTTGATTAACGTTGTCGTCCGCATCATCATTAACCTCATCATCCTTGTTGACTTTGTTGCGCTTGTTAGCCTTGCTACCGGAGCCCTCATCGTCAGCGTTTATTGTTCTGGCTACGCTTGGCAAATCATGGGAAATCTCCTCAGCAACTTGGGGGTGGCCCTCAGCAGACGTAGTCTGATCATCATGGGGCCGACTTGCCAGTGGTCTCTGTGGCTGGGATGAACTTGGACCCTTACCTTCTCTCGGCTGACTCCCTAGGGTAGGCTCAGGGGGTTTATCTGAGCCATAGGGAGTATGACGTTGTTCCTCTACTAGTAGCGTTAGTCAGATGGATCATTCGGATTAGCTCGCTGCAGTAGAGGCACTGGTATGGTGAAGGGTACCAGTGTGGGATCCTCAATAACTTTCTGAAGGTATTTGAGGGATGGGTGCTGACGTTCTCAGTGGATAGTCTTCTGTGGATAGTTGGAGTTGTTCTGCAGAAACGTCGCATCAGCATAGAGAACCATCTCATGTATGGTAGATGTTTGAACAGATCGATGTTTTTCTTCTTCCTGATTAGCTCTTTGATGTTGTCCCAGAACAGGGAGACGTAGTCGTAGTTCTTGCAGAATGCCACACCGTGGAAGATGGTCAAACGATAGATGTTGCATTAGTCGATGCCAGTGTGCTTAGCAGTGAAGCACTAGTTCAGAGTTGGCATTAGAGTCCTCCACGGTCGGGGTAGTCTTCTGGACTTGACCTGGGAGATGAGCCCGATTGGTTGTGCATGGCCCAATGTGATCATGTCTTCCATGATGTCTTCCTCGTTGGCCAGCTCGTGGTAGTTATCCTCCTTTGGATTTGCAGCACTTGGTGCATCAGTTCTTGGGTAACCGTGACCTTGGTGTCCTTGATTGTGTCGGTCAACACATCATCAATTTCCTTGCCATTTTCATCTGTGTCCTTGTCAAGTGTTCCCCAAATTGTTGGAGATACACTTCAGGCACTTTTGCTGATTCGCTCATGGCTTTCCATAGTGTGTGGCTCTTCAGAGTGGTCACGATCACGTTAGGCAGGACAAGACCTTCGGGCCAGACTTCGAGTTGTTTTCCTTGATGGGGTATCAGTTCTGGATCCCGGAGACGGTCTTGATTGCTGCTAGTCCTGCCATGACATGTTTGGTTTGTCTTGCATTGATCCTTGATTGGCGCCAGGGGGAGAAAATTGTAACTCCCCCTCAGAATGTGCAAGGTGTTGTTTGTCACCGAGGAGTAAGGTAGAAAACTCCACCTTGATATGCGCTTTCTTCATTGTAAGCCACCAGAAGGGGTGAAAAAGAAACACCCCCCCTCAGAATTCAGAATAAGCACTTGTTGTTTCTTCTTGGCATGTGTTGGTGTTGAGGTGTGCATTTGTTGATTTTCTGCTCAGTGGGGTAGTATACATGCCAATACTCCCCTTAATAATGTGCACCAGTTGATTTCTCACAGCTCGTCATATCCGCCATGTGTGTGGAGCAATCGGATAAGGTACCACACATGACAGACTTGCAAAACAGATTCAGTACGTTTTGGTACCCACTTCCAAATGGGTCCATCCTTATTAGTGGTGAAGAAATGTTTCAGCTTTTGTTTTATTTGGGAACCTAGGCCAGCTGATTGAGAAGTGTTTGATGTTCTTAGTTTCTCAGCTTCGGCCTTAGGAACCCACTGTTTTCTGAGCTTAGAAGCGAGGGAGGTTTCATTAACAATGAGTGAATGTTCAGACAGATAACCTTTTAAAATTGATTCTTGAGAGAGTCTTTTCAAATGTTTAAGTGAGTGAATCTTGAGGGGATACTTTAAACATGGCAATTTGTACTCTCCCTCAATGTTCACCTTCACAGCAGTTGATTTCTTTGGGCATCTCTGAACATTCACATTCTTATCTTTGATGGAGAAGGAATCAGACTCAAAACAACAAACTTTCATCGACTTAACACAATTCGGAGAACAAGTACTAGAGCAACGATTCTTAAAAGATGTCCTAGAACTAGAAAACTTAGGAGCCACTCTTTTAACATGACTAGTCAAGGGTTCTCTTAGGAAATTCCTAGGAACAACACTTCTAGTATTACTAGTAGAAGGCTCACTAATGCTAGATCTAGACTTATTTTTGGCATAAAACAAGGCACTCGAACGATGGTTCTTATTTCCTATATGAAACTTTTCTTCTCTCTTCCTTCTTCTCAACCTCTCCTCGATCCACTCACCTTTCTTCTCAACTCTCTTCTTCACATGGTTTCCGGTCTAAGAAGGAGGCTCAGAGTGAGTGGAAGAAGTTTTAACATTTTCTGAGTTGGTTGAATTTTCTAAACATTTTTCTGAGGAAGAGAGGGAAGAGGGTTGAGAAACTGTGATGGACTGAGAGGATGTTTTTAACGTGGATATTTCGTTCAAAAGTTGATCTCTTTCAAGTTCAAAAGCCTGTTTTTCTTTATCGAAAGATTCTCTTAACTCAGCAAACTTTCTCACAAGAGGTGGAATGTATGCTGGTTTGACTACAGGTTCTAAAGTTGAAGGTTCCTCTCCATCTTGCACAGTTTCCTTTTCAGGAGCATAAGTTATGACTTCATCAGCAGGTGTTAGCGGAGGTTCTTTCGTTTTGTAACTCTTGTTCAACTCTGTGTAGTCAAAACGAACCTCGGCACCAACCTTTGTCTTTCTCTTTTCATCCTTAAGGGCATTCGTTTCTTCTGCTCCAGTGAAGGCCATAAGTTTGGTCAATCCTATTTTCATGTATCTAACATCGTAGAGTTGGATACAATCGACCTTTTTCAGGTTCTTAGGATTGGTCAATTGGTGTGTAGCATATAATGGGCACACAACTATTTTTTACCCAAGGAAGTAGGGTGTCGAACCACAGAGAAGCGGGAAATAAAATAATTAAGCACAAACTAAGGATTAAAGTTGGGAGTGCGTTTCTTTTGATTTTTTTGGTTGCTTGGAAAAGTAATAAAATAAAAGTGATTGAGATGAGAGATTTTTATCAACACAAAGTTCAACCAATAGTAAGTAGGGGTAGAAATTGGTAACTAATTGTTCAATGTTTAATTGAAAGAAATAATTGCTAATTTTATTCGTAGATAGATTGTGAGAAGTTGTGGATAAATATTTTAGGACCCAACACAAGTCATCTAAAATAAGTAACTAGTCAACATTTCCCAGTGATGGCCAAAACGAGACTAGTTGTTTAAGTGCAACGACAACCTTAATTATTAACTATATTATTTACCCAACCCCGCGGTGTAAATAATATAATTAAATAATTAAATTCTCCCGTAAAACTTCAATCCGGGACAAGGTAAAAGAAGTTTAACAGTGTGTTCAGAAAGTGTTCATTTGTGTATTTAACAAACAATATGTCTATGATTGAGTACTCATAATATATATCACAAACATAACTTAATTAATTTTCTGGACACAACAATCTAAATAGAACAAACTTAACAATTAAAATCAATACAAATTAAAACATGATAAGAACAATTAATTAACCAATTTCTAGCCCCAAATTTATTTAGCTATACATGTTTGGAAGCATAGAAATAGATGAATCCATAATTAAAGTACAAGATTTAAAGAGATAAGGAAAATCAAACTTGTGATAGATGACAATCCTTGAAGCTTTGGTGCTAATCTTGACTTAATCTTGGATAAAGAAGTGATTAATTGATGTTGAAGATTGGTTGATGATTTGGAGATGAAGAATGAAGAGAGAAGGAGGAGGAAATGATTCTGGGAGGTGTAGAGAGAAGTTGGTTCGAGATTATGTGTGGAAGAAGATGGATTAAGCCTTATAATGATAAGATTATTAATCATTAATTGCTGGAATTTACGGAAGTGTTACGTTCATATACAAGAGAGCGTCTCCAAATAGTAACTTTCAAAAGCAGCGCAGCGGGGATGGTGTTTGGTTGGTACTCTGAGGTCTCTGGTTCGAGCCCTAGCTGGGACTTATTTTTTACGTCTTTTCTTGCTGCACCGAAAAGGAATTTAAACATCCTCCAGCTAAATCTTAACAACTTTGACATTCAGCTCATTGGTTCAGATCTGCTCTCTCATCCCTTGGTCGAAGGATCGAATCCCAGATGCTTCCACCTTTTTTATCATTTGCTTCTTTTCTTCATTTTACTCTTTTGCTTTGTAGGAAATTCCACTTTTATTGATCTCCAACTTGAACTTTTATTTTCTTCTTTTCTTCACACACAAATGTATCAAATAGTATCAAAAGTACCTGAAAATACAAAAATACATGCATAAGACTGCACACGTACAAAGTAACGATAAATAATAAAAATATGTACAAATATACAACTTAAGTGACCAAGATTATTAACAAACTAAGCCTAAAAAATGTGTAAAATATAAGCACATCATCAATCCTAGGCCCTCCTTGGAGTTATAGAAACGTGTGTCCTTAGGTTGGTTAAGGAAAATAGTCTGATCAGTTTGGTCCCTCTTGGCTAACAAGTCTTCGAGTTCTTTAATTTTGGTGTAAAGAGCGCCCCTCCTTTCCATAAGTAAATTGTTAACGCCAAAAAGTCTAATTCTTTCTTTCACAGTAGTTCTAAGTTTCTCTGTCAGTTCCTTTTCGCTAGCACTGAGTCGTTTATTCTCAGTTGTGAGCGTAGTGATAAATTTCTCTGAATTGATTATTTTGATGTTTGAGCATGTCTGTTTTTCACGCAGTTTGTTATAAACATCATACAATCTATCATATTTCTCCTCTAGCTCCTTAAATTTATCGTGTGTGTTGGTTTTAGAGCATGTACAAACAGAGGGATTAGAAGTGCTTACAGCGTTGTCTGCATTCTTGCTCTCGGCAGAAAGGGCAGTCACTTCTTCAGTATTGGTTGCGGTAGGCAGGTTCTCCTCCTCCTCAGCAGTGGAGGTTGTGTCTTTCTCCTTCTCAATTGACAAAGCGTCCATTTTATAATTGATCGGGCTGATCAGTTGATTGATAAAATCCTGTTTTTGTTTGTTTAGTGCTTCAAGCAGTAGGTTCGTGCACTGTTAAAGTCACAACTTTGGAATCGCGCAAGTGTGGCTTTTGGGCAAGTATTTGGATCAAGTGTTTGAAAGATCGCTCAAGTGTAGAAAGATCGCTCAACTTTTTAGGATCGCTCAACTTTTGAAAGATCGCTCAAGTGGTAAAAGATCGCTCAAGTTGTATAAGATTGCTCAAGTTGAAATGGGGCAACTCCTAAAATGGGGCAACTTTTGAAATGGGGCAACTTTTGAAATGGGGCAACTTTTGAAAATGGGGCAACTTCAAAGATCGTTCAACTCCAAATGGGGAAACTCCAAATATCGCTCAACTTTGAAATGGGGCAACTCCAAAGATCGCTCAACTTTGAAATGGGGCAACTCCAAAGATCGCTCAACTTTGAAATGGGGCAACTCCAAAGATTGCTCAACTTTGAAATGGGGCAACTCCAAAGATCGCTCAACTTTGAAAGATCGCTCAACTTGTAAGAAGATCGCTCAACTCTTAAAAGATCGCTCAACTTTTTAGAAGATCGCTCAACTTGTAAAAGATCGCTCAACTTTTAGAAGATCGTTTAACTTTTAAAAGATCGCTCAACTTGCAGATTGCTCAAGTGGAGAAAATAGCGCAAGTCCGAAATCGCTCAACTCCTGTAGATTGCTCAACTTCGAAATCACTCAAGTGCAAGATCGCTCAAGTTAAGATCGCGCAAGGGCGTAATAGCTCAAGTCCAAAAATCGCTCAACTCCAAGATAGCGCAAGAGTTCAAATCGCTCAAGTCCCGATTTCGCGCAAGGAGTTCTTCCTGAAGTTGAAATCGCGCACGAAGCTTTTTGTGCTAAAGTTGAAATCGCGCAAGAGACAACTTGCGCTAAACCTGTTCTTCTTCCCAGATGAGTTGCACGAAAGATCAGTATCGCTCAACTTCAGCTTAACTTGTACGCCAACTTTCTGGGTGCGATTTTTCACAGAATGAAACCTTGCAAGACTAGAAACACTTTCCTGTAAACATTTTCCTGCAAAAATAACAACAAAAACAGAACAGAAGATCGTTCAAGTGCAAAATCTTCGCCGATGAAGAATCGCGCAGGAGCTTTTTCAGCCTTCAATCGATCGATCAGCTCCGGCTCTGATACCAGATGTTAGGTCCCTATTTCTACTCTATAATGTATAAGATCTGATTAATAGGAGTAGAAGAAGCTTTCCATTGATAGCCAGAAAGTTCACATAAAGATGAGGAATATGTAGCGTAAAACTTCTGTAGGCTTCTAGTCCATGCGCAGGGAATTTTCTGAGGGAGGAAAGCTTAACCTACTCATTCTCCTAAGGGGCATATTTATAGCCTTGGAGAATGGTAGGTTAACAAATGATTGGGCTCCAACTTTAAGGAGGCCCATTCCTATTTAGGCAATAGAGCCTTTACCAAATAAAGCCTATTCTATGGATAAATAAACTATTACAAAAAGGCTAAGTAACATTGATCACAATATAATGAAAATATCTTTAACAACACACCTGTTTTTCCTTTAAAGACTTCCGCTGTACTATAAAATTGTTTTATAATACAGATGATTTCATGAAAAATGTGATTTTATTTGGGTGGGAAAAATGGGGTGTTACAGCTGGGGTCTGACATCAGACAACACTGGTGGACGGACATCTGTGGACATCCACTCCTTCGTCTGGTTGTTCGCGTTGGGGTCTTGCTATGGACGTTTCCGCTCCTTTGTGGATGATTCGCACATGTTGGGTCTCGCATTTGCGAAAATAAGTAGGTCCGCATCAGTCAACACCGAGCTGGATATTTTATTCTCCAAATTTTAAGTCCACAGCCGTGAACCCTGCTATAAGATTTCGGATTATCTCATTTTTTTAAAATCTAATTATGGTCTCTTAAAAGAAATTGAAAAAAAAAGAAAAGAAAAAAGAAAAAAAAAACAGTTATGTTTTCTACGAGTGGATTTGACAGAGGAGTAATATGCAATTATTGCAAAAAGCCCAGACACTTGATCAAAGAGTGTAGAAAATTGCTGTTCAACAATCAAGAAAATCGGTTGCTCATATTGCTTTCGCTACCAGTTCAATTGATGGATCAATTGCTACTTCTTCAGATGAGTATGCCAAATTTATTTGCTACCAAGGATCTCTAAAGCATTCACCTGTCCCTATCTTGGTAGCCGTAAATTGAGGTATTTCAAACACATGCCTTGTTTCATCATCCTCGAAATGGGTCAATGACTCAGGTGCCACAGATCATATGATCGGTAATCCCAGTCCATTCTCGTCATTTCATTCATATTTACCTACTTCTAGTGTCAGTTTAGCTAATGGATCTACCTCACCCGTTCTTGGATCCGGTACTGTTGTTCCAACTTCTACATTACCATTATCGTCTATTTTGAGTCTTCCTAGTTTTGCATTTAATCTGCTTTCCATCAGTAAAATCACGCGTACTCTTAACTGTTCTGTAACATTTTTTCCTGGATATTGTGTGTTTCAGGATCTGTTAATGAAACAGAGTATTGGTAAAGGACATGAGTCAGCTGGTCTTTATATTTTGGATACATCAATCACAAAAGGTATCTCTTGTCTTGGGGTTGGGACTTTGTTAGATGCTCATTACCGATTATGACACCCATCTCTCCCATTAATGAAGCAAATAAATCCTTAATTTAATAACATGACCTCTTTACAATGTGAGTCATGTCAATTTGGGAAACACCATCATACTAGCTTAATCCCTTGAGTTAATAAACGAGCAAATGCTCCATTTGACCTTGTTCACTCTGATGTTTGGGGTGCTTGCCCGGTTGTGTCTAAAGCTGGTTTTAAATATTTTGTTACCTTTGTTGATGGCTATTCTCGTATGACATGTTTTGTTTTTCATGAAACGTCGATCTGAGTTGTTCATTTTTCTTCCTTTTGTGCTGAAATTAAAACTCAGTTTAACGTTCATGTTCGGGTGTTAAAGGAGACAATGCTCAAGAATATCTATCTGTTACATTTAAGTCATTTATGCTTCAGCATGACATTTTTCATCAAACTTCATGTGTTGACACACCTCCTCAAAATGGAGTTGCAAAACGAAAGAACCGACATCTGTTAGAAACTGCATGGACTCTTCTATTCCAAATGAATGTGCCTAAATAGTTTTGGGCCGATGCCGTGTCTACTGCATGTTTTTTGATAAATCGTATGCCATCTTCTGTTTTGAATGGTAAAGCTCCTTATCATTGTCTATTTCCAAACAAAGAGCTTTTTCCTATCCCACCTAAAATATTTGGTTGCCCTTATTTTGTTAGAGATGTTAATCCTCATCTTACAAAGTTAGATCCCGAATCATTAAAATGTATTTTCTTGGGTTATTCTCGAGTCCAAAGGGGGTATGGATGTTTTTGTCCGAGTACAAGTCGGTATCTTGTTTCTATTGATGCATCATTTCATGAAAATACACCTTTTTCATCATCTAAAGAAGATATTCATGAGAATAATGATGATATACTCATTTACATGATGACTATTCCCGAGTCCACACTTTCGACAAGTATTCCACAAGTTACTGTTCCTGACCCTAGGTCTCCCGTACATTTGGTATACACCCGTCGACACAAAGCACCTGATCACCCTCCACTGGCGATACATGTGATTACTTATCCTGATACTAGCTCGACTTCGATCTCATGTCCTAAATCAGTACCTACTAGATCTTGTCTTTACATTAAATCTTGACCTCCCAATAGCACTACGTAAAGGTACACAGTCTTGTACTCATCCTATTTCT